TCTCCCACTCTAACCTCTTTTTTTTTTTTCCTTCCCCTCCCCCATGGGTTCCTGTTAAGTTTCTCAGGATCCACATAAGAGTGAAACCATATGGTATCTGTCTTTCTCTGTATGGCTTATTTCACTTAGCATCACACTCTCCAGTTCCATCCACGTTGCTACAAAAGGCCATATTTCATTCTTTCTCATTGCCATGTAGTATTCCATTGTGTATATAAACCACAATTTCTTTATCCATTCATCAGTTGATGGACATTTAGGCTCTTTCCATAATTTGGCTATTGTTGAGAGTGCTGCTATGAACATTGGGGTACAAGTGCCCCTATGCATCAGTACTCCTGTGTCCCTTGGATAAATTCCTAGCAGTGCTATTGCTGGGTCATAGGGTAGGTCTATTTTTAATTTTCTGAGGAACCTCCACACTGCTTTCCAGAGCGGCTGCACCAATTTGCATTCCCACCAACAGTGCAAGAGGGTTCCCGTTTCTCCACATCCTCTCCAGCATCTATAGTCTCCTGATTTGTTCATTTTGGCCACTCTGACTGGCGTGAGGTGATACCTGAGTGTGGTTTTGATTTGTATTTCCCTGATAAGGAGCGACGCTGAACATCTTTTCATGTGCCTGTTGGCCATCCGGATGTCTTCTTTAGAGAAGTGTCTATTCATGTTTTCTGCCCATTTCTTCACTGGGTTATTTGCTTTTCGGGTGTGGAGTTTGGTGAGCTCTTTATAGATTTTGGATACTAGCCCTTTGTCCGATATGTCATTTGCAAATATCTTTTCCCATTCCGTTGGTTGCCTTTTAGTTTTGTTGGTTGTTTCCTTTGCTGTGCAGAAGCTTTTTATCTTCATAAGGTCCCAGTAATTCACTTTTGCTTTTAATTCCCTTGCCTTTGGGGATGTGTCGAGTAAGAGATTGCTACGGCTGAGGTCAGAGAGGTCTTTTCCTGCTTTCTCCTCTAAGGTTTTGATGGTTTCCTGTCTCACATTCAGGTCCTTGATCCATTTTGAGTTTATTTTTGTGAATGGTGTGAGAAAGTGGTCTAGTTTCAACCTTCTGCATGTTGCTGTCCAGTTCTCCCAGCACCATTTGTTAAAGAGACTGTCTTTTTTCCATTGGATGTTCTTTCCTGCTTTGTCAAAGATGAGTTGGCCATACGTTTGTGGGTCTAGTTCTGGGGTTTCTCTTCTATTCCATTGGTCTATGTGTCTGTTTTTGTGCCAAGGTTATACTCTTTTTTAAAGTTTTTTAGAATTTTAGTTATTTTGAGTCACAGAGACAGCATGAGCAGGAGAGGGGCAGAGAGAGGGAGAGAGAGAGAGAAAGAATCCCAAGCAGACTCTGCACTATCATTGCAGAGCCTGATGTGGGGCTAGAACTCACGAACTGTGAGATCGTGACCAGAGCCAAAACCAAGAGTTGGACGATTAACTGACGACTGAGCCACCACAGCACCCCTCTCTTTTAGAGACATGCCTGCCAAAATAGGGGAATGGACATTAGAAAAACTTGTCCTCTGTTTTTGTATATCTTTCTTTATACATGTTTACCTTTTAAGAAGCTACAGGTTTATTTATTTGCTTGATTAAAAGAATACCAGTAGTAACTATACTTCATCTGGCAGCACTGTAAAGTTTAATTAATGTTTCTAAGGTATGAGTTGAACTCACAAGATGAAAGATTCTATATATGGAATATGTGTTAAGTGCCCAACCTGGTTTAGTCTGATAATGGCCATAATTGTATGGTGTTCTACATTGCAGTCTTGATTATTGTGGTTTCAGTGAGTTCAACCTTGAGAAATGTATTTTAATGTTGAGAATGTGTTTAACAACGGTTGGCAAATGTTTGGGTGTACTTGATTCTTGATGTAAAAGATGTTTTACAAAGAAATATGGAAGGTTTTTCTTTTTAAATTGGTTCAAGGGTCCAAGAAGACACAAAATTCTGGTCCTCACACATCATATAGTAATATATAAGTTGGTTTGTGCCACAAAATCTAAATGCTAAATAAAAAAAATCATTATTAAAATTACATCTCCATATTAAGATATGCTAAATATGTGAGGACTGAGCTGGCACAAAATAAGGTTGTTAAGATATCAAAAGGAAGATTCGTGTTAATCACCAAGATAAAAAAGAAAAATATTTTTCCACAAAACTCATTTAAGGATATTTCATGGAAAACTTAAATAGTAGGTAGGACTGCTGGGTCATTCAAAGTGAGCTAGTGCTCAAGAGCCAAGGATCTGTGCTTTTAGAGCTAACATGTAACTTGGAAAACCGAAGGGCTTAGATAATCTTGTCAGATTGGGAGCTATTATTACCAGAGTGTAGTTGAATATTAACAAGACTCAGCTATGCTTTATGTTAGTATCAAAGTTTATCTTTGTATGGCAAAAGCAGTTTTCTACCTTTATGTCCATTCCCTTTCTATTGTACTAATATTTGTAATTTTAAAAATAGCCAGCACTTCCATATACCCTTTAAGAAATATAATTACATGAATTAAAACAAGGCCCATTTTTTTGGTCTTGAAAAGTACTTGGTTAAAATGCAAATCCTTCTAGAAAATGTATCAATTTGGGCCATTATCAGCTGGCCCATCCACACACCCTTCTAAGAAATTATAACTACACAAATTGGTACAACCTTGTTCATTAAATCCGGAAAATTAGCTAATCTTCCCTTGTAAAGATGTAAAGACACGACATTATTTTCTCATTCAATGACATTTTCAGTATTTACTTTGCATTTACAGTTGTTCAGCATCATGTGAAATATGAGACACACTAAAGGAAGGTTTAATGCTTTAGGATACCTTTCCTGGCTTTAAGAGTTGACAGTCATTTTAGGCAGTCAGAACAAAATGGTACATTCAAAACAGATAGGAATCCATTCCCCCTCTTTTTGGCCTCCATCTCTGTTCTCTATGGTCCTAGGGCCTAAGTTCCATTAGAGCCTTGCTCTCAGCCAATTGTCATCAAACAGCATAAAGCTGATAGTGGTTCCAGGTGGTACCTCTTCTAGGAGGATTTGCATTTTAACTACAGACTTATGAAGATCTAAATTTATTAAATAAATAAATAAATAAAGTGGGCTTGTATGACAGCTAGAAAATTGATTCATTCTTAGAGTTCTGATTTGTCTAAAACTATTCAATACAAACTGCTTTTACTCCACCCACAGTCCTGTTACTCCCCTGCTTTTAAAAGCCTAGCTTGCTCCCTCCTTTCCTTGCTGTCTAACCTAGCCCACAGAGTAGACCAGATTTTTGGCTTTGTGTGCCAGAGGAGGGAAGGAAACATTCTTCCTCTACCCTTCAAGGTCTTCCAGCTGGATTAAGAATTAAATTCACAGGAGACAGATTAATAGGAGGAAAAAAAACCCAAAGTTTTATTACGTGGGCACAGAGATCTCGAGAAATGACCAAGGCAGGCAGTTCTTAATACATTTTAGACAATGAGACAGTAAATTTGTGAGGAATTGAAGGGATAAAGAAAACAGGTGTTTGAGAGCTTTAATTAAATTACGGAATTCTAAGCGGAATTTAGGTTGAGGTAGATTAGAAAAACGTTGGTTTTTGCAGCTTTCTCAGCTTTACTGGTGATAAGGATGTCTTTTTCTTAGTACAGGGAGGGAGCATATTTGCCTTATGGGAGATTTGTTTCTTGCTTTCAGGGGGACAGAACAGGGTCTGCGTGTTCTTGTGCCAGTGGTTTCCCAAGTAGCTTCAATTCAAAATAATCAATATGCCATTGTGTTACATTTTGGGTGGACTGCTCTTGGCCTCTACCCAGGCACTCTTGAGCCTCATTTTCCTTACTTCTAACGACATCTTACTTGGTAGCTTCATTGCACTTTCCGTATTTCCATAAACAGGCCAGGCCCTTTCACAACTCCCTGCTTTGCCCATTTGCACTGCCCAGAATGCCTTTGACCTTCCCCCTCTCTCGTCTTTTTGGCAGTCCCCACTCTGACACCCAGCATAAGCAATTCCTATGTGAAACCGATTATTCCAAAATTCTTCCGAATTTCTTGATTCACATGTTTCCGGAGCACTTTGTACATATGTTATACAACTTGTTAGGGAAATTAGTTTTGTAACCCTTTTCCCCTACTGGCTTCTCAATGGTAGGGACCTGATAACATGTGTGGCATAAAGTCTTTCAGTTGGATGTTTCTGCAATTAGAATGATCAACAGGTTGGCAGATTTAGTTTTATTTGACATTGTGCCCCACCCCCCCCCCATGCCCTCAGGTTAAACAAAAACTCCCAGCAGGATATTTACAAGGTTAGTGCTGCTAATTTAACCACATTTAGAGGTTTGTTCTTAAGAGTAATCTATTTTGGAATTGGGGCTTGTGGAATATATTGGTAGAAAACATTGATTTTTGCCAATATCATTCTTCCAAAATGTGTTCTTTGGAACAGTTCTGAATTGAGATTTGGTAAAAGTCGCTTTGTTTGGTCTATAAATTATTGGATTAATGACTGAGGAGGTCGTTGTGTATTGTGTGTGTGGGGGGGAGGGTGTTAGTTACCTGCTTGTTTCTTGGACCTTAGAATGCACCCTAACTCTGGCCAGCCATCTTAGAAAATGCTCCTGGTAGGAAGGTAAAAAGATTTTACAGCTACGTTACTGAAAAAGGTATCAAAATTCAGGCCCTATTCAGTGTTGGGTCAGCAGTGTCCTTGACATAAGAGAAACAATTTATAGCTTAATCGAAGCAAAAACTCATTTTCTTTGTATCTAACATATTTTTCCTTTCCTATTTTAACGTCAGGACATTCCTTCTTAGCAGCAGGCATAATGCCATGATCATATTTTCCTTCATTTCGGGTTACTCCCCATGCCTTACAACCCCTCCTTATTCCTTTATCTCTTTCAAAGTTTCCATTCTCGGTTCCCTTACTTTTTACTCCCTCCCTTCCTGTCTTCCTCCTCCTCTTTTTTCCCAGCTAGCTCACCCCGCCCCTCACCGTCACCACCTTCCCTCCCCTTCAGGCTCCTTCCCGCTGCTTCTCCCGCCACCTTCCCCCCTACCCCGCCCGCCTCGCGTTCAGAAAGCTCCAATCAGGAGCTCGGGAGGTGTCTAGAAAGCCCGCCCCCTCCTCCCTTTCCACTTCTCTTACCCCCCTTTTCTCCCTCCCCCACCCCCCCCACTCAAGTCCTGCGGACCTGGGGGCTTTGGGATCTGGGCGCTATGAAAAGTGTCTGCCCAGTCACTTCCGGTAAGGGCGCTGCAGCGCGAAGCTTCCCGCGGGACCGTTAAGGAGGGGGTGGGAGTTACCGGCGGACCGGGGGAGGAGAGTGCTGCCAAGGAAGGGGAGCGGGAGAGGGAGGGGGAGGAACAGCGAGAGCTAGGGAAGGAGCACGAGCGTCTTGGGCGCCTTAGCTGCCGCTTTCCCGCCGCCTCCCCAGGAGCCAGCACCCCCGCCCCTCGGGCGCCTTGCAGTGCTTCTCTCCACCCCCCACTCCCGAGGACAGACACCGCCCCTCCCTCGCCGCCGCGTGACCGGAAGTGGCGCCATCTTTAGCCTCTTGTGCTATTGACAATAACAAGCCTTGGTTCTCTCCCCCTCCCCCCTCCCCCCAACCACGGCATCTCCCCTCCCAGAGAGAGGGAGAACAGGAGGAGGAGCTGCAGCCTCACAGACTCACTGAGTCGCTCCAGCAGAAAGGGGGGGAGAGAGACCGAAAAGCCGGGGAGGGGGACGGCACCGCCGTTTACCTGTCTGCCTCCTCATTCGCTCTCCCCCCTCGTTCTGCTCACTCCTGGTGTCAGCCTATCCGCCTTCCCAAACCCTCCCATTCCCCCTGTGTAGCCCCCCCTTCACTTTCCTTCTCGTCCTCTGTGTTTCTCCTCTCTTTCTTCCCTTCCCCCTCTAGCATTGCCACCTTCTCTCCTACACGCACGCAGGCATATAAACGTAGGTTTTTGATGCTCCTCTGCCTGTTGACCCCGCTATTTTCATGTTTCCAACAGGTTTTTCTTCCCCCAATCCCTCAGCTGCTGCTGCTGCTCAGGAGGTCAGATCTGCCACTGATGGTAATACCAGCACCACTCCGCCCACCTCTGCCAAGAAGAGAAAGTTAAACAGCAGCAGCAGTAGCGGCAGTAATAGTAGTAACGAGAGAGAAGACTTTGATTCCACCTCTTCCTCTTCCACTCCTCCTTTACAACCCAGGGATTCGGCATCCCCTTCAACCTCGTCCTTCTGCCTGGGGGTTTCAGTGGCTACTTCCAGCCACGTACCGATACAGAAGAAGCTGCGTTTTGAAGACACCCTGGAGTTTGTAGGGTTTGATGCGAAGATGGCTGAGGAATCCTCCTCTTCTTCCTCCTCATCTTCACCAACTGCTGCAACATCTCAGCAGCAGCAACTTAAAAATAAGAGTATATTAATCTCTTCTGTGGCTTCGGTGCATCATGCAAACGGCCTAGCCAAATCTTCTACCACCACTTCTAGCTTTGCTAACAGCAAGCCTGGCTCTGCTAAGAAGTTAGTGATCAAGAACTTTAAAGGTAACCAAGGCCAAAATCCATAATCACCTACTAAGGATTTGACACTTGAGCGGTCACGTGCTCTGTTTATGTTAATATATTAAACAGTATAGAGGTGGCCTAATGTTTTATGCATAATCAATGAGGTGGAGGGAGGTCCTTTTTTGGGTGGAGGGTTCATTTTCCGGGGGTGGTTAGTATCCTTGTGCTGAAGCATACACCGAGTGTTTCTGGGCAGTATTTTGAGGTCTGGCTCAGCTTCTTCTATCTACTGTTACTCATTACAATACTGAGAATCGGTATGATTGATCCGGATTTTACAGGTGAGAAATTTGTATTCTAAAGAGGTTTATTTTATTTCAGGTGCATAGTGAGCTTTCGTACTGGTGATTTTTATTTTTATGCTTCAGTAGGCCACATTTTCTAGTCCCTAGAAATGCAGGTAGCAATGGTGATCTTTTCATGCTCAGTGAAGATTTATAGTTAGATTTGTAATGTTGAACATTATATTCTTGAAACCCCTTGTGGAAGCAGTATTTGGAGAAAAATATTTATGATCTCTGCATTTCTTTCCAAAGGTAGGGTTTGGAAGTCAAAAACACTGTGTATACAGATAAGTAGTAACTCTGTACCACTAGTTTAAAGATGGGAACAATTACTACATCTTTTTTTTTCACTAAAATGGGTTTTAAAGTACTGACCTGCAGTTCAAATTTAGGAAAATTTGTTCATTTTACATTTGAGATATGTGATTGAGAGTATTATGAATGCACTGATGTATATAAAATCAACAGATTTTGAGCTGAATTACTTTTTTCTGTTAACTGTGTTTCTAGTTTTCTGACTTAGTTTTTCAACACCCTTAACTGGCAGGTAATAGCTGCTAAGAGGTTTATTAAATGGAGAAGTAAATGAATGAACTTAATATTTACCAGATAAATGAAGTAAATGAATGAACTTAATATTTACCAGATAAGTGCCTTGTGGGTAAATATTAGTATTCAGAAAATTAGCTTCTTGGTGCTTGTGTTTTCAACATTAGTGTGAAAATCAAGAATATGCTCTATTTTGTCTAAAGCAGAGGGTTATAGTGTTTATTTTTAACCTTCTCTTTTTTTTCTGTCATTCCTCCCCCATCCCCAGGTTCTCAAGAGTGTTGTAATCTTTCTGGTTTAATAGTATACTTTTCTGAAGTGAATGTGAATTGTAATTGACTAATGTGTTCACTGTTCCACTCCAAGTATATGGATGTAATAGCCAAGGATTTTTAAAGAGATGAGCTTTATCCCTAATTTCATTTCCATACTGGTTTCAGAAATTTTGTTTGGGTTTTTTCTCTCCCTCTTAAACTAAAAACACATTAAGACATTTGAATGTTTTAATTAAAAAAATATTCCTTGTTGGTCAATGAAGTTTAAATTAAGGCCCGGGTTAAGATATTCCTTTCCACTCTGAAAATGCTACATAGGTTCTGGAGTCATTTGGATGTTTTAATTTTTAAAAATTTTACTCTGCTCATAGATGGAATTTAAATTAAAACCTGAGTTAAGATGTTTCTTTTCATTTGTAGATGCTGCATAAATTTATGTGAGAGTCAAACAGACTTGGATTAGAATTCCAGTTTTGCCATTGATTAGCTATGATGACCTTGGGCAAGCCTTACTAAATCGAGTCTTCTGGCCTCAGTTTCCTCTGTTGCAAAATAGGGGTGATAATACCTTCCTTAGAGCGTTGTTAGGAAGATTAAGAGATTTATAAAGTACTTGTACATAGTAGACATTCAATATTTCAAATCTCAGGTACAAAATGCATGTCAACTGACTTGCTAGGTTTTACATGTCCTCGAATAAGATCAGGATTGTTATTTTTTTATCTGTGATTCTTGAATTTTTATTTTTTGAAGCAATACAGTCAATAGAAAAAAAAAACTTCACCTAAAGGTGAATTCTAATAGGTGAGTCAAAATGACGAACAATATTCTGGCATTTCAAATTTTATTCTTTATGCTAAGCTTAAATACAGTAGTTACTTTATTTTTTATTTTTTTATGTTTATTTATTTTTGAGAGACAGAGCGTGACTGGGGGAAGGGCAGAGAGAGAGGGAGACACAGAATCCGAAGCAGGATCCAGGCTCTGAGCTGTCAGCACAGAGCCCAACACGGGGCTCGAACTCATGAACTACAAGATATGACCTGAGCCGAAGTCGGATGTTTAACCTTCTGAGCCACCCAGGCGCCTCCAGTAGTTACTTTAATATTTAGATGTAATAATTATAAAAATCAAAATTTACTCTTAAAAAGCAGTAATACTATTATTGCACTTTTAATGGATCCTTTCGTTACCATATACTATATATTCTGACATCAACTTTCTACATATTATCTAGATAAGCCTAAATTACCAGAGAACTACACAGATGAAACATGGCAGAAACTGAAAGAAGCGGTGGAAGCTATCCAGAATAGTACTTCGATTAAGTACAATTTAGAAGAACTCTATCAGGTACGTGTTAATGTGGATAACCAGATTTGGCTAGCATATATTGAGGTGGGATGTATATGGATTTTACTTTGAAATGAGTCCTTCTGTAGACTTTTGGTTCTCTTCTAATTACAATTTCTTGATTAACTTATGCATTCTTTTATAATCAAACCACATGCTCTGACATACTCTGACATTCTGACATAAACTAGGAGTACAGTCATATTGGTATATTTCGGGTTTATTTTGGACCCTTCCGATTAGGATTTACAGTAAGGAGTACCTTGGTATAATCAAGGTTTTACCTATAATGGAATCCTATAGCCTAGATCCCAAAGATGATATCTGGTAACATCATTCTGTTGTGGCACTTCTTGCTAAGTGGTGTTATTTGCCTATAGGAAGGGCCTCAAGAAATGCAGATACTCTGTATTTTATCCTTCTTCCTTTGTAGTAGTAGACTTTTGCCATTTCTTTTTCTTTTGAGAGAGAGAGAGAGAGACAGAATGCGAGAGGGGGAGGGCAGAGAGAGAGGGAGACACAGAATCAGAAGGGGGCTTCAGGCTCTGAGGTGTCAGCACAGAGCCTGATATGGGGCTTGAACTCCAGAGCCGAGAGATCATGACCTGAGCCGAAGTCAGATGCTCAACTGACTGAGCCATCCAGGCACCCCGCCATTTCTTTTTCTTGCTCTTTACGTTTGTCTTATCTTCTGGACTGCAAGACCATCCTTAGCCAAAAAAATGAGCAGCTGATTGTAGTCCAGTGACTTCCTCTGAGGTTCAGGTTTGTTTCTTTTGCTTAACAGATCGGTCTATATTTGAAGTGTCTGGTTTAAATATACTATTAGGGGCAATTACTGATTTAGACTTCTTACTACTAAGATATTTTTCCCTACTGTATTTTTGACACAACCACTTCAAGAAGTTACTTTCCATTATAGCGTCAGCAGTTGCATATAAAAAAATATTTCAGAATCTAGTAGCTTGAATTGTTTTTTTTATTTTTAATTTTTTTAAGTTTATTTATTTTGAGAGAGCACGCACACACAGGGATGTGGCGAGAGACAGGGAGAAAGAGAATCCCAAGCAGTTTCTCTGCTGTCAGCGTTTAGCCTAACTTGGGGCTCAAACTCACAAACCATGAGATCATGACCTGAGCTGAAACCAAGAGTCAGGAGCTTATCCAAATGAGCCACCCAAGCACTCTTAGAGTCTTTTATATTGATAAATACCTTGTAAGAAGTTAAGTTGGTTCAACTCATCAGAATTTGTAGTTTTCATCTATTGACTTTAGTTGCAGAGGCTGTGTAGTAATGGACAAACACTGGGTTAGGAGTCAGGAGACAGATTTGGGATCTGGTTTTGGCTGCTATCACCTTTGTGATCTTGAGCAAGAAATTAGACCTCTCTCAACTTCAGTTTGCTTCTCTGTAAAATAAGGGAAAGAAGAACTGTCCTATCTGCCTCATGGAGCTACTTGTAAGAATCCAGTAAGATGTGAGAAACACCTCGAAGCACTATGATCTAGAAATATAAGATGATATCACTAGTACAGCTTTTTCATAAGTCACAGTGTGCCTTTTTCACTTGAAATAAGCCAATTAAGATCACCAGTTTCTGTTGCTTTGAAAATTGAATGAGTCAGTGCATGCAAAACACTCAGAACAACGTCCGAACCATAGTAATAATGTTATACAGTATTCTAATCCTTATAAAGCTATGGAAGTATCAGATAGTGGTGGTAGTAGTAGTAAGTTATTACTTAAGAATGAGCCCACCTTACTTGGCTTTGTTGGTATATTGCACATGTGGCTCCTGAGTTGTACAATATTAAAAGTAGAATTACGGAATTGGAGTTGGAAGGGCTTTAAGAGATCAGATCATGTAGTCCAATAGCTTTTTTCATATAGTGCAGGTGACAGTCTACAAAGCAGGTGCATCTTTTATTATTTCATTTAAGCATTATAGAAGAAACCTTTTGTGAAGTGGATAAGGGAGTGCTTATTATTTCTCTGTTGATGAGGAAACTGAGTCTCAGGGAAGTTAAATAATGAGATGCCTAAGTTTCAAGTCCAGTGCATTTTTACTACTATGCTGCTTCACTAATACACCACAGCTCTTTGAATACCTCTGTAGTGCAGTGTTTGAGGCAAATAAATACTTCACTTTAGGGAAAAAACTTTGTCATCAAAGAAGGTAATTTTTTCATTCCTGTACATATATGGTGTTTATTTGGATATGCTGGTGTACAGCATCTTTACTTTCAATAATGTTATTTTATATATTTTGTATTTATGGCAGATTGTGATTGCTAATGAAGCCTATTTACTTTACCTTGAATATTTTTCTAGGAGTTTTGGGGTTCAAAAATATTTCTCCTGGGGCGTCTGGGTGGCTCAGTTAAGCGTCTGACTTTGGCTCAGGTCACGATCTCAAGGTTGGTGGGTTTGAGCTCTGTGTTGGGCTCTGTGCTGAGCCTGCTTTGGGTTCTGTCTCCCTCTCTCTCTCTGCCCCTCGCCCGCTAGCACAGGCGTGTTCTCCCTCTCTCTCTCTCTCTCTCTCTCTCTCTCTCAAAATTAAAGAAACATTAAAAAATTTTTCCTGATAAATTGATTCTGTTAAATGTCTTTGTTTCAGGAGCTCATAGCTTACATTTTTTCTGTTTTTCCTTTCCTGTATTTCAGAATTATTACATGCTATTGTTCAATTGCATTTCTTTAGCCTAAAATCAGTGATACAGCTTTTTAACTCTTTGCATTTTTCATAGTTTTTTACTATTTCTGCTTTAATAAATTGAAAAGCATTTGTTTATAACTGTTTTTGTTTTTGACTTTAATTTTATAAATGCTCGTTTGGATCATTCTCACAAAGTTTATTTTGAGATGTTCAAGTTCACAAAAAGATAAAAAGATAAAGGGAGTAAAGTTCATACCATCTGGATTTCAGGTGCTTGTTTAATTTTGACTGGTTGAAATGTAAATTAAAAGTACTCTCCTAAAAAAAAAAAAAAAGTACTCTCCTAAAATTGAAACTGTAGAAGTATGTAGTATTACACCAAGCAAAAGTTCACCAAACCTCTCATTCCCCCCATGCTATCCTTTGTATCTGAAGTAAACGCTTATTTGGCATATATCTATGCAGAACTTTTTTCTCTGCACGCAAACGGTTTTAAAGCTTAATCATAGAAGTCCCTAGTATGGATGGCATGTACTGCCTCCCTGAGTTTTTAGTTTCTAGAACAGAATATGTGGTTCTGAGTGCATTTGCAAGAAACAAATGTCTTTTAAGGGTGATTTTAAAATGAGAATTGTACTTGAGTTTAAAAATATCTTTCCTCGACAACCTTGAAATCCTGGTAAGTGTGAGGCAGTGGTTGATTAATGTTATTTTAGTTTGGGGGATTTTTTTTCTTGTTTGCTTATTTTTGATTGACTACAGATAGGAGTATGGTTAAGTGCACTGACTTTTGAGTTGATCAGCCTGATTTAGATTAGAGATCTGCCACTCATGATAACTTTGGGCAAGTTACTTCTCTAAGCCTTGTTTTCCTCATTTGCAAAATGGAAGAGTAAGATTATCTTTGTGTTAGGGTTGTTTAGTTGTAAACAAAATACTGCAGAAAAACTGCTTGTTACAATGTCTACTGTTTGTTGGTGTCATCATTGATAATGATGATAATAAATGAGTCTTTTAAAAAGATATCTTTATTTTTAGATTACCCTTTACTGTACAGCTCTAAAGCCACATGTTATAAAATTCTAAATCCACACTGACTCAGAACAGCTGGCTGATAAATAGATTACATTCCAGATACGTGTCAGTAGACATCATTAGCCAAATTGAAAGAATAATAAAGAGAGGAACTCTCTAGGAACAAGTATTTTTTACTTCTCAAGAATATGTCTTTTTTTTACATGTGGTATCTTATAATAGTTGGAATTTTGGGTGTTTTAAATAATGGGATTATTTTTCTTATGTACTCAGCCTTGTATAAGTAGCTGTATAGTCTTTTAAAATCAGCTACCTTTTTTGGAGCTGGCTGGTAGTTTATATATGAAAATATAACATTTATTCTTAATATAAATGTTTATTTTATTTGAAGGCAAGTCTAGTCCATACTTCAATTCTGATGGAAATAATTTTATGTATTATTAATAAAATTCCGGGGGGGACGCCTGGATAGCTCAGTTGGTTAAGCGTACCACTCTTGATGTTGGCTCAGGTCATGATCTCAAGGTTTGTGGATTCAAGCCCCATGTCTGGCCCGCTGCGGACAGTGAGGTGCCTGCTTCAGATTCACATCCTCTGTCTCCATCTCTCTGTGCCCCTCCCCTCCTCATGCTCTCTCTCAAAAATAAACAAACATTTTTTTTTAAAATGCAACTACAAATTCTTAGTCCTTGATAATTTTAGTCTTATTTAAATCCTTTTTTACTAGCTGTAAAAAGAAAAATAATTTAGGTTTCATGTCTGGTTTCCTTTCTGTAAGTTCTTAGTTTTTGATGTATTTTGAGTATCTTATTGTAGCCATTTTTCCTAAATGTAAAAAGATAAATTAGATTTTATTGCTGTATCGTTTGTTGAAAACTAGGTGGTGTGTTTTCCTTTCTTTAAATATATGGTTTGAAAAATAACACCCAACCCATTAGGCCAACAACCAGAGTTCAGCACCCTGTGGGAATTTAATATCTTTCTTGGTGTCTATCGTTGTTAAATGAGAAAAATTTCTAGATTTCCTCCCTTACTGTGTTTATTTTTATAGTTTTTGTATTTTTTATTCTTATTTTAGTCCTCTTCATTTTTTTATTCTAGTCTTATTACTTACCCTCATTTCTGTTCCTTCTCTTGCCCCTTGTGCAATCTTATGTGCCTTTGCTGTCTTAAATCCTGTATTCCCCAAAGCATCAAATTTTAGGAACTATAGTTTTACATTTTGTTTGCTACATGTTTACATTTCTTTGGAGTGTGTGGTTTTGTTTGTTTCAGACACTTTTTTTTTCAGACAAACATGTTTTTGAT